AAACCTGCTTAGAAAAGCAAGATTACTGGACTTTCCACAATGTCCTTTTTGAGTGCATATCAAAGTCACAAACCTTAAATGTATCTCTTCACTTAGTGTGTCCTTATCTCAAGACACACAGGGTACATTTGACGAACTTGTACATTATTCAGAAATCATGTAAACCTCGCTTACACAATATATTGATCTGCAAAGTAGTTATGGTAAGTTTTCATCAACGTTTTGTTAACGAATCGCCAATACCCTAGTCAAAGCATCAGGTTAGTTTTTATACGGATTCCTAAGGGTAAAAAATAGAACCTAACTGGAATGAAGAATCTATAGTGTCCGTCAGCTGGAGTGGAAAAACAACTGTCAAGCCCCTTTAGGTTTTTGTGGCTTTCATCGAATTCCATGCCCGGCTGTCGAATGGAGAAATCGATCCAAACAGGATGGGGTATCTGAATATTCGCTTAAACCGTCAGTGAAGGCAGTTACAATGCCGGGTTGTGAATTCAGCCGAATATGATGTTTCATCTACCTCCAGTATGCTTAGGCAGTGCATATTACAAATGTGGAGTTGCTCCACTAAGAGCACAACCCAAGTGCATTCTCTCCCAACTTGATGTATAGCAAGCTTTTGGTCACGTCTGCCTTGAAAGCATCACTTTATCAGTAATACCGCTCACAAAATCAGCGAGAATGTCTTCTAGGCAGATGTTTGATTTCTTTATGCAGACAACTTTTAGCATCTATACGTTTTGTTTACCCTGGATGGCCTGCAGCATCATCTAGTCTTAAATGACAAGCTATTGAACCAAACTCCTCAGCCAATTTGGGTTAAAAAGGGGATGCGGACAAACAATCGATGACAGTCACATGATCAGTGACCCTGACGTTCAACCATAAACAAAGTGTATCGGACATAGTTGTAAAACTCTTGGTTTCATGACGTTCTATGGTATTATCCCTGGAGTGGATCACCAGAGTTTTACTGAAATCACAAATTTTTGCACTCTATTTCGTCTACTTAATAGGGGTGAGGATCTTACACAGTGTGCAAATGGAGCATAATAAGACTTTTGACACAGTAACTAGGGTCTACTAATTTGGCAGGATATTGAACCCGAAACAACCTGACTTTGTGATCACCTCGGCCGAAGTTAATGGGTTGACAATGGTCTTATGACCTGTGGTCTCTACACCGCGAAAAACGTGTAGACCGCATTCTTCCAGTTCACGACAACGGACACTTGGTATTTACGAGGGAATGACACCCGGTAAATGCCAGTTTTGCAAGAGCCATTTTTTTAATGTGGCATGATGGATACCGGCATCAGTGTCCCAGAAGTTCCAATCTGGTTCTCTATAATAAGCAACTGGTTACATAATTCTGAAAAAAGGATTATTGCCTCGACAAATACTCTTATTTGATGTTTTCGGACCACCATAAAAGAGACATTTAGTTGGATTCAGTTGAATCTGGTGTCGAATCCGAGTTCGTGTGCAAATGAGAGCATTTGTCAAAAGCTGTTCAATTTTGTCCTAAGTGGAGCATAAAGTTGACGGTAACTCGAGGACTGCGACTACCTGATTACTTGAAGAAGCAAGGATTTTCCACAAATCAGCTCCAAGAATAATATTGATTAGAGCCACATTTTGTCAATAAAACCCTCTTTGCAAGCTTCTAGTTGTTTTTAATGGCATTTTTACGAATACACTTTTAGAAATTGCACTTGATCCCGCATCTCATATTCGGGTTTGTTTTGCACACCAAATCTTCGGATTCAGGTTGTCTCCTTTAAGTCATTTCACTAGAGTTGTAGCAACGATAGGTTATCCTCGATTTGGCACGCGTTCTACACATAGTTTTGGTAGGGTAGGTGATAGTACCCATGTTCAAAAAAGGGGGTCGTGGTGAGTGCGCTGACCACAGGGGAATCAGCGTAGCCCTAGTTGTAACGATACTGTTGGCGTCACTTCTGCTTTGCCGACTTGGAGTGAGTCGTGAAACACTGACTAGAGAACAGCAAGTAGGATTCCGGCCTGGTAGGAGTTGCTTTGAACAAACCTTCACACTCAGTCAGGTGCTAGAAAAACGGCATACGTATAAGCGACCCACATTCTAGTATTCTTGAATATTCAAAGCGCATTCGCCCCGGTTGACCGGTCTGTCCCCCTTGACGCACTTGCCCACCAAGAAATGCCCCAGAAGTTTGTGAACATAATACGTTCTTTGTATTTCCAGACTTCCGGATGTGTGAGAGTGTACGACGAGCTCTCCACAAGCTTCTGTATACAAAGTGATGTACGTCAGAAATGCCTGCTCTCTCCATTCTTTTTTAACTTCATGATCAATGAAGTCTCCAAAACCCTGGTGTCCAAATAACCTGTGACGAAAACCTTGTCTACCTGGAGTACGCAGACGAAATCGTTCTTACCTTCCAGAAGGAGAAGACGCAGGTGTTTTTGGACGAACTGACCAGAGTCATCCCATCCATTGGTATGCAATTTGCTCTCACAAAGTTTAAATTCATGTTCGCGAACGTGCAGTCACTGACCATGCCACTTACAGATAGAGACACTAGAATTTGTGAGGCGTTTTACGTATCTTGGAAGTTGTATTAGTTCTGATTGTAGGTTGACAGATGAGGTCAATACACTGAACTCCAAGTCCCAGGTCACGTTTGCATATTTGAGACACGTAAAGCGTCAAAGTGGTGTATCCTCCACGGAACTCCAAGTCCCAGGTCGCGTTTGCTTATTTGAGACACGTATGGCGTCAAAGTGGTGTATCCCTGAATCTCAAGAGATGTGTGTATCAAGCTGCAGTGAGGGCCGTTTTGTTGTATAGCCGTGAGACTTGGCCTGTTCGAGCAGCGGAACTGAGACGTTTTCAGGTGTTCAACAATCGTCGTCTCAGAACCATAGCCCATGTGGGTTGGTATCGGTGAATCCGTAACGAGACAATCAGAAAGTGAGTTTTGGATTGTGCAACGGGTATTTCCATTGTAGAACGTGTCCAGAACCAGAAACTGCGTTGGTTGAGACATGTGTTACGTATGCCTAGCCATCGTTTGCTGAAGAGAGTGCTGTCTTCTATGTCCAACTCAGGATGGCGTAAGCAGAGAGGTCGCCAACCTTTAACTTGGAATAGGAGTATGAAGGAGATCACGAAACGCTTGGGTGCTGTCGGTGCTACTCGCCTTCCAGGATGGGGACCGCGTGATCCTCACTGTGCCTGGTTGGAGACACTAAAAGATATGGCTGCCAACCGATGTCAGTGGCGTTCTTGTTGTCAGTTTCTGTCCAGATTGCCTGAGTGAATGTCTGGAGGTGTAGGTAGGTGGTAGGTGGTAAGGCAGCACCTTTTGTCTTTTCTTCACAATAGGGATTTCAAGTAAATTATAGCCGTACGGCGACGGAGCATCACTGCTGAATGCTGTTGCTTAGCCTGATCACTGCGGTTTATTTCAGTAGAAGTCCTGCACTGAGACAATAAACATGATGCCTCTGAGAGCGGTCAATCCTTCCGTGAATGTTTCCTGCTCAGAACAACCTGTGGGTAAAATTATAATCTTTCGTACATTCAGAAGCTTTTTCGACGATGATTAAAGATTTTCAACGGTTCACCCGTTTTACTTTTGTACCGAATTATGTAGCTGTTAGAATCGAGATGAAATTGACGGATTTAACTTCCCGAAATTCGAGTTGAATTAGGTCTTTTTCATATGTGGGAACGTTTCTTCTTATGAGTAGTAAGGTGGCCTAGGCTGACAGATTACCAACTGTTGCCCGCTAATCGATGTTCACAATCACTGGGTATACGTAACAAAACCAAGACCAAAGTGTCTACAGTAACACTGAGCCCATGAAATCGGGTTCTCTGTCACCTGTCTACAACTTGGCTATTCATATGTTTGACAGCCCACGACCAGTTTCGTTCTTCTTGTGGTTCAAGATGAAGAAAAAGGCTCAGTTTCATATTTCAACGTCATGTTTTACTTGGACACAAATTGTAGGAAATTCGCCAAATGCACTCAATTGCATAACAATTTGGCTTCCACTATCGACTCAACTAGCAAATCCAAGACAAATCTTTCGTTCTTCAGCCGATTGTGTTTCAGAATACCTGTCCAGACAATCTACTGTGATATTATGAATAGTGTTCAAGCTAAAACATGAGTAGCAGAGCACGAGTTTCATGAGCCTTCATAAGGCTCGTAGTCTGTCGGAGAGTTTTCAGCACCTCTATGGGTACCGTTTCTTCAGAAAAATGTACTGTGGTATCAAACGAATATTGCACCAGCTGGAATATGGAACAGCCAGTGTAAAGTACTTGGACAAGAGGGTCCCCCGAAGTTCACTTGAGTTTCCCAAGAAAACCAAATCACTATACAAACGCATGCATTGGCGAACAGTCTCACTTTTTCCGCGCCTTCTTCAATTTACATTTCAGCCCTTCAAATCACCAATCAAAAAAATTTAAATTAACTGTGATGAAACGTTTTCTGATTGGTTGTTACACTGGTTGACTCAAGTCATTCACAAACGAGTTCATCCGAATGTCTTAAACTGTTTCAGATATTCGACTCGGGACATCTTCGTCCGATAAACTATATTGTTTTTCTGGAAAACAGCGTAGCAACAGTCGTACTGTTTGTATGTCTATGTTGAAAAAATGATGGCCACTCCCAATAGATAGGTACACTGGACAGTTGTAGTCTAGTTAATGAAGCCGTTTGTCGTTCAACCATTTTAGTTCCTTTAGCGGAAATTACTGGACACGCACTGATACATGTTTACAGTGTTTGTGACCTTGTCGGTTGTCATGATGACGATTTCCTGAAACAGTGCAAATATGTTTACCGCGTGTTATGTCGAATCGGCCATGTGTAAAGGGCTCTCTGACCCTAAAGTTCATCGGTGGTTCACGGTAATCAACAAACAGACAGACAACATGGTTTGATGTCAACTTGTCTGCGGATGGCACCGCAATGTCACACGATTAAGGCTATTGGATGAAACCGAAAGACCAATCAGCGGGATTGCTGGCGTTAGAAATATCGCCACACGGTGACATCCTGAAACTTTTGTTTACTACTGCCTTCATGTATCGGATCGCGAGGTGGATCATAGTATTTTTGTGTATTGCTGGATCCGCACTGCTTTTAACCTATACGAGGATATATTCGTCAACAGATCGTATAGCTGGACGGAATTCAGAAGAGACAGGAAGCTCGGAAGTGGACGATCCGTCTGGAGGAACTGTTGAATCAAACACCACCGATGATACACTGGAACTCACTGTCGACGAGGCCAGACTAAATTATTTGAATCCATACCTTGGAGATAGTCGATATGCAGGGAAGAAAAGTAAGTGGGATGCTTCAACTATCGATCGGAACTAAAATTTAAATGTAAGAATCACGTGGATATTGATTACATTGGAGTATGTTTGCAGAGTTGAAGAGGCCAACTAAGACTGTTCCAGACTTGATTAAAACCGGTCACAGAATAAATATTGGTGCCCTATTTATAAAAGTTTGAATCGAGGAATGACTGAACAAAGACAAATACTTCTTTTGACTACTGCAGTTAAATCTTCAACAATCGTATGCCACAGTAACCAGCTACACCTAGATTCAGCCCGATCGATATGTTAAGGAATAAGGAACTACGGTTCAATAAAATGGTGGCATTATATCGTCTCCCTCTGCCTCACTTTCGAAGGCCCAGTTTGACGCCCATTAGTCTGGTTCCACTGACAAGTTCTGACATTGCTCAGTTTCTGCTCGTATTGTCCTTTGCGCGTCGCTCAGATGGCATATTAAGCGCTGTAAAAATGCTAAAAAATATCCACTTGCTTTCATCAAACTCACCTCTATCAAAAGAGTCTCAGAATCGATGAATGACTTACGAAAATCGAGATGTTGAGAGGGAATGGAGCAGCCACCTATGTGACCTGACCTGAGACGACTGCAGATGCCCTAAGAAGCCCGGATGAAAAACCCTAGATAGGGCGAAAAAAGAGGGAATTGGTTTGTTGTGTCTTGGAATTTCGCAAACCTGCAGCAGGGACAAAATATTCCATGTGGTGCAGTTTTAATGACTCAATTTTAATTTCATTTTATTCCCCTAAGAATAATTCATTCCAAGGGCTGCATAACAACTGCCTACGCCAGTGACAAATCAAGCTCGAAGTCCATCGAAGGGTAAAAATGCCCTAAACAGATGAGGTACTACTTCCAATATACTCCCTTAAAAGCTTACCGCCTTGATAAGCTCAGTCATACTGTTACTGTGTGGTTAACTGCGATGTCCCAAATGATTGTTGCCGGATGTTTTTCCACAGACATAATTCTTTAACGGTAGATAAAGCTCCGGTCGATTTGTCGTATTTTTTAAAAGGGTCTTTTCGTGTCTACTGTTGAAGAAACGTCATGTGCACACATTATATCAAGGGAAACCCGGCGGCCAGATTAAAGATGCTCATACATGGGTTCGAATCTAGGTAGCCAAGACAGAAACCAGAAATTTAACCTCTAGTCTGCCAGCAGGCTATTAGTAATATACGTAAGGTGATAAAAAGACGACCGATCAAACCGCCGACAACAGTTAACAACCCATAGTTCCGGTGTCTCAGTGGTAAGTCTTTTACATCTCATTTGTTTTTATAAACAAAAGAAACATGAGGATATATATATATAATCCAAACGTCGCCGAAGCATGTAGTGATGCAATCTAATCTGTATAGAAATTAGGTTTAAAACTCGCAATAACTGCTTCTCAGCGTGAGACTGATACAAGCATTCAAGCGGATGGACTGAAGTCACGGATCACATCAGTTAAAGTTTACTCAAAATATGGAAGAGATATATTTTAATTGATAGGTGCATAAGTGTTTAAAAAATTAAAAGATGCTACTAATGGCTATACCGCATTGTGTATGGTTGTGAGGACAGTCAATATGATGTCTTGGTAAAACGAAACACTTCCGTACCAATTAAATCGTGGTTCTTTGAGCGTTGACTCTCAGTATCCAACCGTTTTATCTAAAAGCCAAAAATGTTTATCTTCAATTTGGCTTTGTCAACTTCTCGATAGGCTCATTTAGCAAAACTGCATTTACTGGATGGAAACGTTAAAAGAAAACCCCAGATGGCAAACAAGAACATTTACTCCATGAAGATAAACTTTGCATTTGCAATGCTTGCCGTCATCCCCTGCATCAAACAGCACCGGTATTCGCCTCATCCTGCAGTATCTTGATGGTTTGTTAATAGCCTACATCCGAAAGCGAGGTAGCAAATATTTGAAAAAAATTCGCCTGTTTGAACACGTAACGGAAACGTGAAAAATAGTTGGAACCAGTTGGGTAGTCATCATTTTCGAAAAAGTTTAGTGACAGCAGCTCAAATCAAGATTACCAACAAACGTCAAGAAACAGGATACCCAATGAGTTTGATTAGGCATCAACTAAGAAAGATTTTGACTCCAGTATCTAGACTCAGTAAGGAATGGATGGGCACAGTAGTCATTCCGTATAAAGCAGGAATATCGGAGGTTAGTTGAAGACTGTTGAACTTAGCCAACATTCGAGTAGCTTTTCAGAAGGGAAAAACGCTACGCTCAGTTTTGGTGCGATTAGAAGATCCCCTTCCGGTTGAAAGGACTAGGGACTGCGTGTATAAAATTAACTGCAACGATTACGCTATGGTTTATATAGGACAAACTGCTAGGGAATTGCACACCAGAACCAATGAGCATAAAAGAAGGATTAACAAACCAACAAGAAATGCAGAAGAATACCAAATACTGGTCAAAGACTCAGCGATGGCGGTACATGCCTTTGATATGGGACTAAATAGATCTGGAGAATGTGGAAGTTTTAAGACGGGGAGTGCGAGTCACACCACAGCGGCTGATAGCCGAGGCGGTGGAAATCACCAAGCATCACAGCGTGAATAGAATCGAGGATGTGGAGCTAGCGAGCGTATGGAAAGTGGTCTTAGACGAGCCGAGTTGATATGTGACAGTGGGGTTATCAATCCACGTAGGATCATTAGAAAAAAACAGGGAGGTGTGGGTGGAAATCCCAACCCGACCAAAGGTCACAGAATCCCTCTTACACAACGATCTTAGCACTAGCTCACTCATACAGACTGACAGAAGGTTCAAGCGAAGTTCAAGCGGAACCATCAAATGAACCGAACCAGAAGAATTAGACTCTAGACTAGACCCAAACACATGTAGGTTTCCCCGCCGCCCCATCACTTGTTCAACCACTCTAACACACTAAATTCCCTCGGCCGACACCCGACAGGGATTTAGTATGACTTAGCTGATTGGTTCTCCTTCCGCCTTAAATCTCGACCAACATCGGAACCTCGTCACTTGGCCTGATGAAACTTTTGTGTCAAAAGCGAAACGTTGCCCAGCAATAAATCTACCGATTGTCACCAAACTTTTTCGGAAACGTAGCGGAAACGTTTTCCAGATTGACGGCCACAAGATTGAAACACAAAACAGAGCAAAGCTATTTGGTTCAACATATTTGGAGTTAGGAATTAGTACGTTTGAATTTTTTTTATTGTGAAGGATTACATCTCATATCTTCTGATTCTCTGTACACTCTGGGAAGTTAACGAAATGATCATTCGATACACAATACGGTAGCAGATTCCGTTGACAATTTTGCATCAACTACTTTTTACTAAAAGCCCTATAGTGAGTTTTCACCGGCATAAAAGCAAAAAAGACATTCTACTCCGAGAAGAACTGCCACAAAACCTCAGATACACCTAAATTCCAGAAAACCACATATGTGGCACATAATACGGTTTGTATAACTCATATTTCCAAGAAGAAGCAGTCATTTGTGAGAACAATCTCATACTGAATGAAAGTCTAACCCCATGGATACCGGCAGATTGTCATCGGTCCACATAAGTTGCTAGTTTCGCAATCATTTGAAAAACTTAATGGCAAAAAGATGGACATTAGGAGTCCCATGAGATGCAGCCTATCAGATTTGAACTACTTGTTTCAGACTAAGAGATCACACCGTGAGGAAAACACACCTTGACTAGTTGAACGGGGTATGTCTTTCCTTCCTCAAGGCACGTTCAGACGTCAACAAACAAACCGTGGAGTTTATTTGTCCTCCGAGAATCTAAACAAGATGGTTTAAAAACACATTACCCCCGCTTGCAGTTAGCGATGCACCAAATTCTATCGCACGATGCGTCTAGGTAAACAGACCCTTAACACTATACGCTCCTTGGCAAAGCTAAACCGTAAAGGGATTGGTTGAAAAACGACCAGTTTGATTCCAAAACCAGTTTAAGAAGGATGATTATAACGGTTCCCGTTCTTGTCCCACACAAACGTTCCTGTTCGAGTTGCTTCTAACAAAAGGTCAGGTAGATAGGATCTGTGAAATTTACTACCCGTGTAAGGAGAAAAGTTCTTCGCCGCGGAGTTGCCCATCAGGAAGCACCAAGCAAACGGTTGCAAACAATTGGACAGGAAAGTAAACATCTCAAGAGTCTTCTTGAATTTCTTGGATATTCAGTGACCATCACGCAACTGTAAACGAGCGCCACAAAGCAGTTCCGTACGTTCCGTAAATACCCCGCCTTTCATTAGGCTCGAGGAGTCCCGAGAAAACNGTGAAATTTACTACCCGTGTAAGGAGAAAAGTTCTTCGCCGCGGAGTTGCCCATCAGGAAGCACCAAGCAAACGGTTGCAAACAATTGGACAGGAAAGTAAACATCTCAAGAGTCTTCTTGAATTTCTTGGATATTCAGTGACCAACCATCACGCGTAAACGAGCGCCACAAAGCAGTTCCGTACGTTCCGTAAATACCCCGCCTTTCATTAGGCTCGAGGAGTCCCGAGAAAACAACATACTACCCGCATGTCTCATCAGTGGTATCCGCCGTTACACCCGTAGGGGATCAACAAGCTACAAAACTTTGTTAAAAATGAATGACACTGAATTTTTAAGCCATAGGAATACAAAATCGAATGCTTTTTCTGACCTTATACTTGGGGAGAAGTTTATTCCAAAACAATGGCACTTGCGACCTTGAGTTATTGCTTAATTGTCTGAATTCTATTGCTTCTCGGTAACTTCTTGATTTTCTTTTGAAAGGTCTCTTCCTACATCGGCTCGAAGAAAACCTCCAAGCTTTTACAAAAAGTGTACACCACGCTGGCATACTGAGCTAGCATTTATTAAGTTCTTATCCAGAAAATGAATAACTTCCCAACAATTGATACCCGCAATTGATTACGAATCACACATTTTGCACTCAAAGTAGAGAAACGATCAAGGAGACCTTTGGAAAGTTCTTTTACCATAAACTTG